TCTCTCTCTCTCTCTCTCTCTCTCTCTCTCTCTCTCTCTCTCTCTCTCTCTCTCTCTCTCTCTCTCTCTCTCTCTCTCTCTCTCTCTCTCTCTCTCTCTCTCTCTCTCTCTCTCTCTCTCTCTCTCTCTCTCTCTGACTCTGTCTCTGTCTCTGTCTGTCTCTCTCTCTCTCTATTGGCAGGTCGGGAGGGGTGGTCGATAGATTGATGAATACTATGGCTTGGTATTGATTATCGGGTCAGATCACAGGAAACTGGGTCATGCGCCAACACACTGACCAGCAAGAATTTAAGAGACCGAGTCAAATGGCAGAGGCGAGATGCTAACAAAAAAAAAAAAAACACAAACACACAAACACACACTAAGCATGGCGATACAAGCAGACGGTTCAATTCGGGCCTCGGTTCTTAGTACGTCTCCATGAGTTCCCGGGCTCGATCCAGTAGTCGAGCATAGTGATGCTCATCCACCTCCACCTCTGGAACCCGCACGTTGGTGTAGATGCTATCGTCATAGGTATACTCGAGGTCTGGGGTCAGCGCGGCGCGACGAAATTCAGGGGACTGATCATCGAGCGCGCGGAGCATGGCGTCCTTGAGGGCGTGCGCATCACGGGGACGATAGGTGATGGCGTTGCGTTCGGTAAAGTACTCGTTGAGAGGGGCCTCGGCAGGGACGATGAGGGGCACGTGTTGGTAATAGAGCTCGTGTGCAGCGAGAACCGTGGTTTCGTAGTGTGAGGCGAAGATGGCGGCGCGGACGTCTGTGACGAGCTGCGCCAGCTTGTCACGCGGGTGCGGGCGGGCAAATGTGATGCGACGAGCATGCTTCTTGCCCAACATGTCCTTGATACACTCAAACTTGTGATCGGGGCAAAAGCCATCAGGGCCAGCAAAGAGAAAGCGAGCGGTGGGGTGGGCCTCAAAGAGCAGACGGATGGCTTCCACGATGGTCGTGATGCCCTTGACGGGGGCCACACGGCCGTAGAACATGAAACGCTGCGATTTGCTGGGATCCTGCGTACCGCGGGGCCCAGTGTGTGCGAGGATGGACGCCCAAGGGAGGCCCGTGGGCAAGAGCTTTTGCGCGGGGAGGTGGTATTGCTTGGCATACCAGTTGACGAGATGGCCCGAGCTGGCCAGGAGACCATCTGCCAGCCACATGTCCAGCCGCTCCATCTCATACATGTAAACGTTGCGGGCTCGCGCTTCGGGGCTTTGGAGAACCTCGCCGGACGTGAGGCCAGCTTGATCACCGGCTTCG